CGGGGTGACCGATAAATGCCGTATCAACGATGTAAACCTTGGTCGATCGTACTTGTTTACCGGATCATGACAGAATGCGCGAACGGTTCTTAGCATGCATTCTTTCCCCAGGAACGTGATGGCGCCGTCGTGGTAGACATTCTTGAGAACTACGGCGTTAAGAGCATCAATTTGAGCGAGGGACAATTTGGTTATGGTGAATGTGATGAGATCTTCCGGTGATCTGAGACGGTTCAGATTAATCGACGAGAAATCAGTGCCCTCGGGAATTTGGTCCTCATTGACGAGTTTGGGTGCAGGTAGCTCCTGGGGAATCTTGAGCAGCTCGCTGCTCACTGGCCCCATCCGTTGGTATATGAACGTCAAGTTGGACCGTAAGATGACTGCAATCCGAGGGCTGACGACAAAGATGCGATGAACCTGGTCGCCTGTCACTGATAACCCCTCCCACAATCCAAATGCGTTGCTGCTCAGAATAAATTCTGAGGTAGAATGAGCCTCTCATATACCAAGGAAACATGCGCTGGCCTGCATATCGTACGCAAGAGCCTCGCTATGCTCCATGTCGGGATCAAGATTGGTCATCATCTGAAGATGAACTGTTTCCATTCCACGTTCGTCGTATATCGCTTTAGCGTGGTCAAGAATCTGTGAATGAGGGGTATCCAAGTAGTAACGGAGAACATGCAGCCACACATCGGTATGTGTTTGGCAGTGGTGTTTAGTTTTATAGCGTTCGAGCCACTGCCGAATTGTCGAGCCTCCATGAGGATGATCAGGATCGAAGTACGACCCTCCCAGATTGCGGTAATGCATCACGAACAAGAATTTCCGTAGCCGCTCAACATCGCGGCGTTTGAGGGGGACCTTGTCACTGGCAAGGTTGGAATGGAGGGTTTGGATGACCACTGAGGCACCTTTTTCAAGGACGCCAAGCTTTTCCTCCAGCTCGTTGACGTTGCTAGGGTTGCTTGCGTCCCTGTAGAGGTTCTTGAGCCCATAAATGGTCCCAGTGGAACGAACATCAAGGCTACCTGAGGCCAAGTCATAGTAGAGGACGTGCTCAGGATAAACACCGGTGCGTTTGTATTCTCTGTCACGCTCTGCTCCGGTTCTGTAGCAAGCCGTTAAAAATCGACTAAACAAGGCGCGAACGCTTACTTGCGACGACCGACTTGAAAACGTCGCAATATGAATCTCGGGATGGCGTGATGGAACTGGTCTTGTTTGCGCGGCGGTGGTTCGCCAGGGGACGGCTGGTTTAGCTCGAGGAGGCATCAGTGCTAGGAGGAGACCAGATAAGCGGCAGAATCGCGTGAAGTGGTAAACCGATCACACGCATACGCCCCGCTTCGATCACGGCGCTTAGATCCCCTTGACATGTACAACCACTGCGGGATGACGTGACTTGTGTGACATGCCGACTTTGACTGCTGTACCTTTTCCGGCTGGAAATATGACTACCAGATATTGTTGAAGCACTATGGAAGTCACTCATTTGGTACATCATGGATCATGAAATCTGTGGAATATTGATGACCCTGTGGCTGTGCGAGCTGGCGTGATGTCCAGTTAGCCCGAGTCTTGCTGAGTAAGGATTTACTAAGAGAAAGAAAGCACTAGAAGATACAAAATGGTATTTAAGTAGCTAGATTTCATAGTGTCCTGTACTCGTTTGCCTTCTAAGCAAACATTATCTACTCGCTAGGCAAACGTGCCTGATCACACGGTGCGCGTGTTATCCAACAGAAATCTCCTCTGTATTTCTTGAGAGGCCAGCAAACTCAAGTGACTTCAATGACTCCAAGTCAAAGGCAGTTTTTCAAGTCATTGATCATAGTTCCTTGGGATTGTACCTTCAGGTACTAAGTACATGATTTGTTTCGATCATTTCGAGTTCAAGTTATAATTAATATTGATATTTTGTGATTTCATCAGTCTGAAACGTGAAACTTCAATGGTGCTGAGGGCATATATTTGTAAGAGTGAAATCGACCGGGTACATGTACAATCAGCCAATACATACACAAAACGGAAACGCTGGTTCCATCCTACACTTCCCGCAAGGGGTAAAATACAAAGTCCTTAACGCTACAGTTGTTATGAGCAAGGACTATAGACAAAGGAGAATGAAAATGTCAAAACTCTTGTATCTGCACCGCCTGCATCGTTACATCAGGCATCTTATCCAAAACATGACCTGATTCGTCAATGACCCAGTCAAGAAATGCAACGAGGACGACCTCCTTGCCCACCTGCCCAAGAACATCACTAGAATCATAGGCTAGTCGCACACCTAGTTTATCCGATATGAACTGATCCAGCCCTTGAAATACTCTCGACGAAACCTCCTCCGATAGAGACGATTCCAAGGTAATGGTGTCTCCTACAGCTTTGTAGACATCCCCACCAAAACGAGTCTGACATTTCTGCATGGCAGCAGAGAGATTGAAGGTGTGTTCCGTCATGAAAGGACAAATCGTGCGCAGGGAAGTGTCTTCAATTAGTCGGAAGACAGATAGGGCGCGGTCATAGTGAGAGGGAAAGCGTTTCTCATCGAGCAGTATATTCATAAGAGTCGCATAAAGCTCAGCATCGACAGGATCGTTCGACTGTGGTGCCTGCCCCATCAATGTCGGGATGACCGATAGGTGCCGCATTAATGATGCGAACTTTGGTCGATCATGCTTGTTCATCTGATCGTGACAGAATGAGCGGACGGTCCTGAACATACGTTCCTTCCCCAAGAATGTCATTGCGCCATCCTGGTGAACATTCTTCAAAACTACAGCGTTAAGAGCGTCAGTTTGAGCGAGGGACAGTTTGGTTATGGTGAATGTGAAGAGGTCGTTAGGTGATCTGAGACGATTGAAATCGACTGACGAAGGATCGGAGCCTTCGGGAATGCGGAATGCAGCTTCCCCATTGACGAGTTTCGATACAGGTCGTTCCTGGGGGATCTGAATCAGGTCGCTGTTCATTGGCCCCATCTTTTCGAACATGGGAAGCAAGTTGGACCGTAACACGACTGCAATCTGAGGACTGACGACAAAGACACGATGAATCTGGTCGCCCGATGGAGCTACGCCCTCCCACAGTCCAAAACTGTTATTGCTCAGAATAAACTCTGATGTGTCATGAGCTTCCCATATACAAAGGAAACTCATGCCGGCCTGCTTTTGATATGCAAGAGCCGGGTAGTGCTCCATGTTGGGATCGACTGTGTCGGTCAACATCTGAAGATGAACCTTCTCCATTCCGTGTTCTTTATATATCGCAGTGGCATCATTGACGATCTGGGAATGGGGAGTATCCAAGTAGTAGCGGAGGACAGACAGCCATACATCGGTGTGTGTTTGACATGATGGATGCTTGGTTTTATAGCGCTCGACCCACTGCCGAATTGTCGAGCCTCCATGAGGATGATCAGGATCGAAGTACGACCCTCCCAGATTGCGGTAATGCATCACGAACAGAATTTCCGTAGCCGCTCAACATCGCGGCGTTTGAGGGGGGGACCTTGCCCTGGCAGGTTGGAATGGAGGGTTTGGATGACCACTGATGGCACCTTTTTCAAGGACGCCAAGCTTTTTCCTCCAGCTCGTTGACGTTGCTAGGGTTTGCTTGCGTCCACTGTAGAGGTTTCATGAGCCCATAAACTTTCCCGATGGGACGAACATCGAGGCTCCCTGAGGCCAAGTCATAGTAGAGGGACATTCTCAGAATTACCACGGGGTCTGTTTGTTATTCTTCTTGGCGCTGTGCTCTGCTTCTGTGGTAATGCGTTAAAAATCGAATACCCAAGGCACGGGCGCTTACTTACTTGGCAGGACCACTGCCAGGTTGAAAACGTCGCAATATGAACCTTGGGATAGCGTGCTGGTACTCGTCCTTTTTTTGGCGCCGTGGGGGAGTACCGGAGGATACGGCTCGTTTGGCTCGAGGAGGCATCAGTGCTGGGAGGAAACCAAGTAAGCGCCAGAATCGCGTAATATAAAGTGTCAAACCGATCTTACGCAAACGCCCTGCTTCGATCATGGCGCTTAGATCCTCTTGAGATGTACAACCTGGCAGGGTCAGAATATCATATACGAACAGGGAATTGCTCGTATATTCAAGGGCGTTTAACGATACTCATTCGAAATTTTATTCGCAATCGTAGTTCACAGTGACTTTCGGAGGTTGAGACGCAGCAAGCCAGGTTCAACTTGAATGGGATAAAGTTACACGTGTTGGGCGATACGTAAAATCGTTTAAACGGGTCACAAAACGTGAATTACCGAGCTGCAGCGCAAGGACCCTTCGTTGTCCTTGATAAGCAGACATATAATACAGACGAGACAAAGACAAAGACAAAGACGTCGAGAGTCGAGACGAACTTAAAGTTAGACATACTAGACAAGCAAATGACACGTGGTCAACGTTTACCGCCACGACATCACGTGCTTCGGTAATGTCGGCTTTAACTCGCAATCCCTTCAGAGGGCCATTTGTACCAACCTTCCTCCAGTCAGCAAGAGACTGAGCGCCCTCATTACCGACACTGATTTTGCTTCTACAGAGGAAGAAATCTAGCGAGACCGTGGCGGAAGACCTGCCGCCGGTTCACCCCAAAGCTTCCCCGACATCTCTATCAGAGTAAGTTCACAATCGTCGTCCGGTGTCATTGTATAAGTCTGGGATTGAGCTTTGAGAAGATATATATTCCACCATCAGCGGCTTCTGCTGCAGCAACACTATCTGATTCGAAGCATCCGCCACAATCAGTCAAGTCCATCCACGATTATCGTCTTCTGTATCGCGACTCACGAGAGACGCCTACACTTACTAGAGCCGCGACAAACGGTATCATTTATCCGTCAACCCCCTACCTGCAATCAACCGGAAACTACATTCGTGGGTGCCTGGCCGCTTGGACAACCACGACAAATGTTGGTTCATCACAACGCAGCTTACCCGCTCCTCCTTTCTCCCGATGCGTGCCGCGGAAAAGATCAATCATGCTTGGGGAGCTTTGTCTTCGGGTTCGAGTAATTGTGGCTACTCTCTTCTTCATCAAACATTGGGTATTTATCGACGTAGAAACTACTACCTCCATCTCATACTACTCTTTCAACAGTCTAACCGCGAAAACACGAGCAGAAATGTGTCCTCAATTCCAAGCCTTCTGCTATGCCCTGCAACTCAACCTCACCCCGTCTACTATCTTCAAGGGCCTCTGCGCAATTACCGTCGAGACCATCTGCCTTAGTATCGAAAGAAAAGTCGCCGGGCTAAACCACAGCACCTTCTGCGGATGCACGGATGACGACTGGCTACCCTCAATAACCGATATCATGACATGCCAACGCTCTATTGCCTTCGCCCCCAAGCCCTCAAGCAAAAGGGAGTATGGTGTCTTCTCCTTGAATGCGTCACCTCCCAACAGTGGACGATAGCAATCTTGGGCATTCTCTCCTCCCTCTTTTCACACAGGACTCGGATATGCCGCGCCCCGCGACGGCCCACCACTTCATTACATTACACCTGCCGTCAGTCAGATTATTAGAGACGTCAGAGCTGCCGTTATCTATTCCCATCGGTACGGTACCTTGCACTAAATATTTCGCATGAATGATGAGCAGACAACACCAGTGTTTCACAAGAAGAAGGGGCTAAGGCACATACACGTTCTCAACGGCTGGTATGTTTTGAGCCGAATAATAGCGGTATATGTACTCCAAGATTTCTTGGGTGAAGGGTCATCGGTTGTGGTGATAGGTATTTCGCTTATTTTTCATCGTTACCGCTTCGGCACTGACTGTACTCGTGTATTTCAAGCATTTCTGCGGATCTTGGAAGGCTCTAAGACTAGGATCCTCGAACTCCTCAATATCTCGGAAATCAAGGTGGGACTGGCTCAGA